ACATATAGCTCCTTATAAATTTTTACTATACTCACTTTTATTTTGTCATGTTTATAAAATCTCAGGATTCCTACTGTAAATACTTTTGTGGCAAAGAATAAAAAGTAATTACTTAATATTCATTAATAGGAACTAGAGCTAAAATCAAAGGAAGTATATGACATGGGCCTGAAGATGGGTGGGAAGCCAATTGGAGAAAAGAAGGTGAATAGTAATATTCCTTCTTATCTAGTAGATGTGTATGTAAGAAGCTGTGTCCATCAGAAAAGTCACAGTGTAATTTGAGAAGTATAGAAGTATTTAGAAATATATATTTATTGAGCCAGAAAAGTAGCCATGATATATATATATATTTGGCTTTTTTGAAGAAAATTAAGAAGCATGAACTGGCAAAGCAAATTTTTACCATCCACTATAGTTTATAACAATAGGGAAAACTGGCAGAGCCTTAATTGCAGTGTGATTAGCTACCTTATTGCTGATTGCAGAAACTCTTATACTGCATTTGTTCCCTAATGTTTCAGACCCATAGTTATTTGGTGCTAGTAACTCACATTTACCTATGAGAGAGATGTTATAGAGAAGTGTGGGTTGTACTTGGGGAAGTACATCTAACATCTAACCCAACTTCCACAGGCAAATTCAGCAATTTCTTTAAATGATTCGTTTTTTTTTTTTCCAAAGTGATTATCTCAGCTGGTACTTCAAAATACAATGTAAATCCTTCTGTTCGCAATAAATCCACAGAAATCCATAAAACATAAAGTGTTTCCTATTATTATCAAACATTTGTCGAGCTTTTGACTTAATGATCTTCTATTCCAGCATTGTATAGAACCAAACATTCATCATGATTCCTATCCAGGAGGGCTCATAATCTAAACAGAGTGAGAACAAGGGAATTTCACAAAAATTAAAATAATGTTCCTATGGTCAAATTGTTGAGCAGTACAGTTCCTGTTTCCCATTGACTGACATTGGTAACAATCTCAAAAAGAAAATTCAAATCCTTCAGTTAGCAACACTTGTAATTATTTTTTAGCTTTATAGGGTTAACCTTATTGGGGTTGATTAAATTCAAGCTGCGATCTTTCATAAAAACTCAACGGAGGGTCCAGATGGCCCAGTAATACCTCCTTTTGTGAGAGGAAATAACTTGAAGATTTTTGTCTAATTAAAGCATTTGTGATGGTAGGACCTGAATGAATGTTATTCCTTTAAGAGGAGTCTTAATTACAAGTAATCTTTATAAAAGACTAATTATTTTAAAACAGAGTGCTGCTTTCACTATTTCAGTTATGTCCTAGAACCAGAGTGGCATGAGCATGACATTTTGAAGCTAGACTTTGATACCATCTTTGGGATTTCAGTCTGAAAGTACAATTCTGGAAAATCAACAGAACAAGGCTCTGTGGAACAAAATGCCAGGAAGGTCAATGCATTACTTTCCTCCTGTTCCAGACCCATGCTCACAATTACCTTAACTCTTGTCAAAATATTTTCTACAGTAACAGCCAAGATATAATTAACACCTTTTCTCTATGTTGAAAAAAAAATCAATGGTAGCCATAAAACAAATCTGAAGGAAGCCCTTAAGCACCATAACTCAGCAAATGGCTGCTATGCTATTGGTATACCATGGTTTGCCCACTTGCCTCCCCACCACAGTGATCCTAACTATGTGAGCTAGAGAGAAAGAGAGAGGTAGGAATAAGGTAGGGGGGTTGGAAAGTAATTGAGAAACGCAGTAGGAAAACAGACAACAATCTTATAAGTGTTTTGAATATTTAGTTACTTACATCATTATTCTCCATCTTCTTTTGTATTTTACCTATACTCTGAGATGATTTGTTCTCTAAAAGCCCATTTTGTATCAGACAGGCGAAAATATTGACTAATTTTCTTGTGAGTGGACAGGTCCTACATATGACTTTTCATGTGTTCTTGGTTGAGGCTACAAGAAGCAAAAGTTGTTATGATAAAATATTTCCAGCAGGGGGTGTAGCCACTTCTATAGGGTAAGTTCTTTTGAAGCTGCTTTATGTTCTTGCATTTGAATATTGCAGTGTTACTGCTAATGGTAGAGGATGGAATTATGATAACATTTTTTAATGGCTGTCATCTCTTTTGATCCCAGAAAGATCATGCAGATTAATACTTTATTAGGATATGTTGAAGAACTAGAAATTTGTGAAGAATATTTAAATTAAAAACCTAAAATGCCTGACTGAAATCTTAATCTGCCAATTTTTTCAAAGTAAACGAAGAACAAAGCTTCATGTGATTTTAATTATCCAGTACAGCAGAACAAGTGCTTAAATTTTTTATTCCAGATAAAAAGGGTAGTTGATCTGATAGGACTTAGTAATATTTATTCCATCTCCCTGATATTTGCACTCATGGATATAAAGAATAAATTCCTCATTGTCTAACAAGAGCCCCCTTTGGGTGGGGAGAGTATTTCAAAGCTTTTTCTCTGGAGACATAGATACTGATCAGGTTTAAGAGATGACAGTTACCCTTTTCACCCCTGCTATTAATACTTTTTACTTGTAAATATTTGAACCCCCAATTCCCGTTTTCAGATTTTTTTTGGTACAGAAAACTACATGCTTTTTTTTTTTGAGATAATGTAAAACAGATAAAAGTTTTCACTTATTTGTACTAGGTTAACAGCTTTAGACCACTATTAAGAAGCAAGGTCCTAAATTTCAGACCTCTTAAATCAAGATGGCTGATGTAGGACTAAAAATAATGTTAACTGTGAAAATTATTGTTTGAAAACTATGACTTCTCTCCTCTTTTTCTTCTATCCTCCAAGTGTTTACTCTCTTTGCAGGTTTTCTTCAGTATCCGTTTCCTTGTCTACAGCTTGTAACTGAAAGAAAGTGGCACCTACAGACCTTAACCTTCTCTTTTTGCTTGGTAGCATTCAGATGCAAGGGAGTGACCGGAATAAGGAATTTTAGTCTTGCCTTTTTAAAATTAGGGAGTAAGAGACATATACAGAAATTAGAAATCTTTCCTGCTTTCATCTATTAAGTTTACCTTTGAGAAATAAAGAGAAGTGGGAGGGCGGGGAGTGGGGGTGGGGAAGGAATGAATGAGCAGAACTTCTGCTGGAATACTGTGACAGATTTACTGACAAATATTTTCTAACAGATTTTTACTAACAGGCAGTTTTTGTTTTCTTTACTGACAGACCGTAAATGTACTTGTAGTTGGCAGCAGTTGCACTATTATAACGCTAAAAAGCAACCTTGGCTAACTTCAGCACCTTATGTAGCATAAGAAGCAAGGATAACTTGAATTTTAAAGGGTTTTTATATGTTAACTTTACCTAGGATAAACTGTTTTCAGTGCAGGAGATAAATCTTCCCCCAAAAGAAATTCTTCCCAAATTACTTCTTTTAGAAGTAACAATGAATTGGGGGTAGATTTGTGGGATTTTTTGTTTATTCTTTTACCTGCTGGCAGCTATTTCATGACCTCTGTGGAAGACTGAGTCTGATGACCTTGGGAAAGTCACTGGACTTCAGCTTCCTCAATGGTTAAAAAAAAGGAAAGGCAGTGAGTTTCTATCGTTCAGGTCCAAGCACAGATGAGAAACACGCCGAGAGCCTAGAGTATTCCTAAATTGTGAATTTTCTAGAAGTCTCAAAAAACACGGAACATATTTAAAGCAGCATAATAAAAGCCAGGTGGCTGATCGTTTCTCAAGTTGGGCTGGCAGTGGTGTGAGCTGGGGTCTCTTGGATCACCCTACAACACCCACTCCAAGTCTAGGCGTCTCGTGCAACTTCCAGAAGGCACTGGATCTCGGGCCTGGGTCCCAGTGCCGTGGGGACAGAGAAATGGACTCCCCTCCTTGCTCCCGTGGAGTCTGGGCGTCTGGGTGAGTGTGGCACCAGGTCCTGGGCGGGTGGTGTCTGTCGTTGGCGAGCGATCCGATCCCAGGCAGAAAACTGGCTGCACACCCAGGATCACACACCCGAGCGTGTCCCTACGAGCCGGCCAGGGCGCACATTTTCCTCCTCTGCATTCTTTAACGCTCGGCGACCCTACCGGGATTTATCGAGAAGCGTTCAGCGCCCATGCCACGTTTTGCAGCGGCTAACACAACATCAAGTTCCTTTGCAGTATTGTGGTGTGCTCTGAGTTATGGCCAAAAACCGGAACGAAGGAAAGGGAGAAAGCAGGGGAGGTTCGGGACGACGGTGCACGGTCTGCAGCTTCTAAAACGTGGAGGATGGGACAGAGGAGGAGCAGAAAACGGAGAAAGGGGAAAGCTGAGCAAAAATACTCACGCCAATGGGTAAAAGGGAAAAGGTGAGAAGGAATGGAGAAGGAGAGGAACCAATGGGTGGGAGAGGCGGAGGAAGAAGGGGGAGGGGCAGAAGCCAATGGGGGAGCGAGGACGCGAGCGAGGCCGCGGCCCCGCGCACTCGCTCCCCTCCCTCCGGCGCGATCGCTCGCGCCTTTCCCGGCTCCCGGGAGACGAGGGCAGGGGCGGGGCCGAGCCCAGCGCGCGGCGCGGGAGGCGTCGCGAGGTGAGGGCGGCGGGGGGGGGGGAATTGTGGGGCGGGCAGCGCGGGCACGCGCGCGCGCGCGCTCGACCCCGGCTGCGCCGCCGCTCCGCCCCCGGCCGGGTGTGTGACTGGGAGCGCGCGCGCGCGCGTTCCGGCGGTGCGCGCCGGGAGAGATGCTGAGGTAAAGTTCGGGAGAGAGGGAGAGAGAGATCCGTCAGCGTGAGGGAGCCCGAGTGGCCGCCATTACTGAGCCCGGCGCCGCGGCGGGCGCAGGGGAAGGGGGGAGGGTCGGGGCCGCCGCTGGCAGCGGGGAGGGAGGGCGAGTGGGTAACCAGGCAGCAGGAGCCGTAGGGCTTGGGGTTTCGGGGCGTGTGTGTGTGTGTGTTGGGGAGGGCGGGGAGGGGGGGAGGTGGCTGAAGGGACGCGGCGGCGCTCGGTGAGCGCGCCGTGGACGAGAGGCGAGCAGAGAGTGGAGGAGGAGGAGGTGGCGGCGGCGGGAGCGCTCCCCAGGAATGTCGCTGCCGCCGCCACCGCCGGGGCTGCTGCCGTTGAGGAGGAGACGGAGGAGACCGATGTTGTTAGGTAGGACCTTACGACCCTCCCCGCTCCCGCCCTCCGGGCCTCCCGGTCCCCTCCGCACCAGGGACCCTCCCGCTGCCGCCGCTGCCCCACTCGGTCGCGGCCGCCGGTTGTAACCAGTTCAGGGGGCTGGGGCCCCGCGGCCGCGGTGGGGAGACGGGCGGGGTGAAGGGCCGAGAGGCCGGGGAGGGGCGCCTTCTCCACAGGTGACGGGCCGGGGGCGCGGAGGCCTGCTGGCCGGTGGCCGCGCTCGCGCCGGCCCGGTCCGGCCCCGGCCTCAGCCCCGGGGGTTGGCGGGGAGGGAAGGTGGCGGGCGGGCCGTGTGTGCCGGCCGGGTTGCTGCTGTTAACGAGTTCCACCTGGAGGGCGGAGAGGGTGGGCGCAGATTGGCGGAAACGCGATCCGGGCTGCAAACTTAACCGCCTTTCCTCGGGATCGGCCCTTTCACTTTTTCCTTATCTCCCCGACTCCTCCCTGGCGTCTTTCCACCACATTCCCATCAGCTACAGCTCCGAGTAGGGGGAGAGAAGTTGCTCTGCGCCTGCAAAACCCGGAGTCCCCGTGGGTTGACCGCGATCGCGTTGGGGAGGGGGTGTTGGCGGTGGTGGTGCCGGGGGCTTTGATCCTGAGTTTTCGCTAGAATAACCTCTAGATCGTCCCTCCGTTTCCACTAAAGAAAAGTATCGGGGTGGGGGTGGGGGTGGGGAGCGGCGCGGGCGCGCGCGTGCACTTATCCGCTCATAAATGCGCTCCCTCCCTCCCTCCTCGCCCCGGCGTTATTAGAGATGCCGGGGAGGTGGAGGCTCCGCGAGTAGCTGGGGCTGAAAGGTGCTGTTGAAAGTTGTTGGGGAAATGAGTATACTTTTATCATGTGATAACAGATCCAGTTGGGACCAGTGCTTAATAAATGAAAATTTCAGTGTTTGAAATCCCGACCAAAATAGGCGTGCAGAATAGGGGAATAGGTCAGTGCGCGCATTTTGAAATGTAAATTTCCATCGATAATTTCTTTTTCTTTTGTAATAGGTCAGAAACAATGCATTTTTTTTAAAAAGGTTCCAGGTGCAAGGCATTGAAATACCTTTTGGTATTTATTAGTCTTGTGCTGCCTTCTACAGGTGTTTGGGGGAGGAGGGGACTCCCGGTTCCACTTAAATCCAAAGCCAGTATTCAATATGATTAGAATGCTAGGGGATGTTTACCTTTATTGCGAATCTCGTTTACTTCACGGAAGATTCTCTTAAATCTTTAGATTCTAGCAAAAGTTACATCTAGAATGCAACTGTTTGGGAAAAAATGTTTTGCTTTACCAGATAGACTAGTAAAATATGTTCGGAAATGTTTTACTTCCAGTTTATTTGTACTTTAAGTGATAAAATGATAGTCTTATTCAGTATTTTTAGGTACACATATTAGTGGTATACAGGTAACGAACTACAGTTTCCAGAGTACATTTTGCTTCCATTTTAAATTACTATCTTTTTTTTTGCACTTTTATCTTTTTTCTTGTTTTTTTTTTTAATTACCCACATTCCTACTATCTGCAGTAAATAGAGCAGAGGAAGAGAGTGGTAAGTGTGGGTCACCAAAAACTTGCACAGGTATTGGTACAGTTTATGACTAAGGACTGGATTGAAAGACTAAGTATGTATGTGCTTTTAACTTTCAGGAAATAGCGCTATTGATCTGATTGACTTAAAGCAGAATCCGTCAGATAGTACAGATTATTAGTTATTGATTTGGTTGTTTTGTGTAAGCTACATTCTTTAACCCAGGTGTGCCTGTCTTATTTTAACAGTTTTATACCTTAATTATCAAGGGTGTCGAGAGTGAGATTGTTTACACTTTGAAGGAGAATTGTCATTGAGTTTTGTTGCCTTTAACAGTTTTATTTTTTTAGTGTCCAGCCAATATAAACTATTTTAGCAGTTAAAAATGTGATGCAGAAGTAGTATCTGACACATGGTACTTAACCCTTAATATTTTGAAAACCATCTTCTCTCTCTCTTTGATTCTTTTGGGAAAAAATGAATTCTTTATAACTGTAATTGAAGAAAAAAGTGTGTCTCATGAAGACTACTATACTTTGAACATTATCCGGGTGAAGGCAAGTGTTGCCTGTTGTATTCACTTCTTAAATATGAAATAGCACAATAGAGATTAAGTTTTATCACAATTTTATTTTCCATAGGTAACTTTTTTTTTTTTTTTTTGGGCTGCACTGGGATTTGTACCTGCTTGCTAGGCAGGAGCTCTACCACTTGAGCCACTCCACCAGCCCTTTTATGTGATTGACTTTTTTGAGATTGAGTCTCCAGAACTATTTGCCTGGGGCTGGCTTCAAACCATGATCCTCCAGATCTGTGCCTCCTGAGTAGCTAGGATTACAGGCGTGAGCCACCTGCCCAGTCCCATAAGTACTGTTTTAAAACTGTGTGGGCTGTAACTTTTTCTTTTCACATCAAGAAGGTATGTGGATAATATAGTTGACTTGAGAAGCATTGAATGGTGCTCTGTTTTAGGTGTGTAACCATGGTAATTTGATTTCTAAAGACTGAAGAAATTATGATAAAATGAGCCATCATTTGGTAATTTGATCAGACCGATTCATTTAGATGCATGTGTTTGTTAGTCATTCTTATCAAACTAGGAAAACCATTACAAATGTAGAAAATAGTTTAATGCTAAGAATTTAAAATATGGACTTGTTGGTTTTCCAAACTCCATTGCTTAGATCCCTAGGGTTTTTTCCCTTAGATGCCGTGAGACTTTCTCTGACAAGCCACCCTTCCAAATCAAGGCAACTTGTATTTTTTATCTGTGGAAGTTTTATCCGCATTAAAAAAAAATGTTAAAACCTCTGATGTGTTACTCATTAATTGGATTTCTTTTACTTAGCATTTATGTACATGGCCCTGGGAATACAAAGATAGAGTTCAAGCTTTAGTTGGAGAGACAGTAACTGTAAAGGAGTAAATAGATAATAAAGTACTATGAGGAACAGAAAAGAGAACAGCTATTTCTGTCAGGGCCTTAGGGAATCCTTCACAGAAGAAACATTTTAATTCTGAGCATTTTAGCTGCAAGTAGGAGTTTAAGTGTAAGAGAGACAACAGTGGTCTTTTTTTTTCCCCCATTGTATTTTGGAAGGTGACTGTCCACAATGGCTAAGGTATGCAGTGCAGTGAAACAAGATTGTGAACTTTTGGTCATATCTGTGGGTTTTACTCCTTAGAATTACATGTATTTCTTGGGGGGAAAAGTTGTGATTTCATGGTTAACAATCTAAGATGTGTTACTTGGGTAGATTCTCAAGTTTTTATCGTGAAGAATTAATGGTAAAAGTGAGTTTTCATTTTTCTAGCTTCCGATTAGATTTACTCTTATTATCCCTGGAAATTTTTTTTTTTTAATTGAGCAGCGGGTTATTGTGAGCAGTATAAGAAAGTACAAAATACTGCTCCCTTAAAGCTCGTATCAGAACTTACAGCTTTCATGGAGAGCGAGCGGGACATTGTAGGAATAGTTAAATATCAGTTCAATACAAATAGATGAGCTATATATTGTATGAGCTACATCAGTACATTACTGAATTTGGTATAAAGGAATTTAGATGAAGGACATAGTACTTGAAAGTATCATTGGATTAGGATAGAAAGGGGGGAAAAAAAGAAATTTAGGTATGTTAATGACCATGAACCAAAAGCACTGGGAAGTGTTAGAACAGATTGGCAAGTAAGAAGAAAATACAAGAGAAAAATGTAAGAGCATAAGTTTGTACCTTACAAGTCAAATTGAAATATTTGGGAAAAATATCAATGCAAAGGTAATAGAAGGGACCATGGAGAAATAAACATTTAAACTGGTTTAACTGTCTATTCTAGCCATAGTTGACATTGTTAGTCTTGGAAAAACACTTGGCTTCTGATATAGTATGTTTTCCTGTTGCTCGTGTCCTTTTATGATTCCGGATTGTATGTTTTATTGTATTATTTCTATGCTTTCCTTTTCAGAGCCAAGGTAACACCTCTGTCTTGTTGACTGTTTTATGTAACTAGTAGAGAATTAACATTCCTTTAATCTGGAGAATTGAAAGATTCAGATTTCTGCTCTTTTGTATTAGTTAAATATGTGCTTTGGATATTTCTAAGAGTATTAAATGTTTGCTTAGAGAATTTTCTTTTGTTTACAGTCTTGAATTTTATATTACTCATCTTGCCCTTGCCTCATTTCATTACTAAAATTTCATTTGTCTTTGGAAGTAACACCTGAAACTCAGGTGATAGCACCATCTGTTGCTAAAACTGATTAGTTTTTCATTAAGAAACACTGACTCATTTGTCTTTTATTTCTTACGTCTAGCGCCAGTCACTAAGTTCTCTGGCTTGGATTGCTCTTTTCAATTCTTCTGTGATAGTTCAGATGCATCTAGCTTGCAGTATTTGTCTGTTTCTTCGGCTTTGTGCGCCACCAAATGCAGTCTTGTATTCTACTTTTAAACTAATCTGTTGTTCTAACTCCTGTTTGCTCTTGAGTATATATTTCATGTCCAACCTTATTTCTTTACTCGTGAAGATTTTTTTTTTTTTTTTCTTTTCTCTGAGTCAGGGTCTTGCTTTGTAGCCCAGGCTGGCCTCTACCTTCAGGATGCTAGTATTATAGGTGAGTGCCACCTTGTCCAGCTTTCTGCTTTCCTGTGCTCAGTCACTACACCCTCTTCACACATCTGAAATGACTTCTCTTTAAAAACCAAATCTAGTCTTTTCAAGATTCATTCAGATCCTTTGTATTCACTGAAACTTTTCCAGGGATTTGTAAACTACGGTCTTTGGGTCAAATCTGGCCTGATACCTATTTTTCATAATGGCCTTGCATTTTGATATGACTGGCAACAAAATTGTAAGAGTACTGTTTTGTGACATGTGAAAATTACATGAAATTCAAGCGTCAGTGTCCCTAAGTAAAGTTTTATTGTAACACAATCATACTCATTTTAAGTATTG